GCGTATAAAATATAAAATGATTTTTATACGGTTCAATATTATTTATCTTTATGCCGCTCGCTATGCACATCGATAGAATCTATAATCGTCTATAGACTGAGTTACACTGAACGTCGATCTATATTCTATCTGTGTCTTTTGCACTTGGTAGGGAATAGGGAAATGCTTTTTTAGTGGGTGTAAACGGACATGATTTACCCGTCCTGAGAAACGTCATAGCATAAGCGTAGACGAGGGGTTAATTCCATGGCTATAATAAATTTATAAATTTAAAAAAACACACCTGGGATGTTTTAAAATGCTGTAATAATTAAAATGGATCAAAGTGCCGGTTATAGCAAACAGTAAAAAAATATTAGATGTTATGTTTTATTATCTTTTTTCAATATTTTCTGTATCTTGTTGCCTTTTACGCAGACACGCCAATGGATTTTCGTTCCTGGCACGCTTCATCCCCCTTACTAGTCCAAAAGCTAGCGATGAGTCACTCTCTATAATTTCGTCCGCGGGGTATAGATACTGTTATTGTACTAATTTATTTTAAAAGAAATAATATTTTGTAAATTAATAAATGTGGGTACTATCATTATGACTTTTATTTTTTTCCTAGAAATTTCTTTGTAAACAAACATGATTGTGCTTTACACACATAATGAGTAGGTAGACGTAGCTAATTAAAGAACAATTAGCGACAATAGTGAACAAATGAGACACATTAGTAAACCACTTCCGTCTTGCAACTACATATTTCGATTAATACACATACATTATACATTTTTCAACTTTCTTTTTTCTTAAAATAGCTTAAGATACCTGGAATATACATAAACAATTGAAATAGGTGAAGAAATAATATTGTCCCGCTAGCTTGTACTAGTCGGTGGCTTGGAAACAGACGCGAAATATGATGTTTCTCGGGCGAGCTTGTAGCATTGGCATCTGAAACGCAGACGAAATTTTTGCTTTTCGCGCAGGAGGTTCTCGGTGGTTGTGGCTGCTTGTCGGTCTCTCCTGACATCGGCTCTCGTGTAGTTCGACGATCGGAGCGCTTTCTGGGCTGCTGCGACGGCGCGATTGGAGACATGCGCAAAATCCGGATCGCGTGGCTCGTACGACACTGAAACTCATTAAATTTTAATGCTAGGCGTTTTTATACATGTTCAACTGACTTCGGAAGTACTATACGTTGAATTCAATCGCGTGATGAACTTTACGGTTGGTGAGGTCAATCGGAGCAGAAGTACCGGCTATTACAGGTGTTTGATCGGATCAAAAGCCCTTTCAGGTTGTTTTCATTTCTACAGCTATTTCATTTTCAAAGAAACATATGGCCCTACTCATTACTGAAACTGATGACTCTGAAGCAATTGTCGTTTTAGAGATGAAGAAGACGAAAGAAAAGTAGAAGAACGTTATATCTACGACTATACCAAAAATAATAAATAGTGTCATAAATTTAAGTTAAGATGCTTTAATAGTTACGTTTTCTTTCACCATTTTCATATTTTTTCAGATGCTTGAAAGTATATACGGTGTATGAATGATATGGAAGCAGATTGCTTTATTTTAATACGTATTCGTTTAGTTACGAATTTAAAATTCATTCATGAGAAAATTAAGAAAATATCCATTGGCAGCTCAACAAATTCCGCTCTAACCCACGAAGTTAATACCCCACTATTTGTATTCGATTATTATCAGAGGATTTTTCCTTAGATTGGACCCCTACGGATTGACAGGCCAGTGGCTGACTGACTCACTCAATGCCTGTGTATTCACCTACGACATTGCTCCCGTTTTCACCCTTATGGAGAATCATGTCATGCAGGAGGTTTGCCGGATGATAGGGCCAGATTGGGGAGACGGATTGTTTTGCCCCGGAGGATCTTATGGTAATGGGACAGCTATTAACTTGGCCAGGTTTGAACGTTATCCAGATGTTAAGGTAAGAAATTATGGATGGGTAATGAATATTTAAAAAGAACTGAATTAATTAAAAAATACGTTTAATTGAATAATGAATTTAAAATTCTTGCAATCTCTTCATAATTAAAAACGTGGTCTAGGACAGCACTATCCAATGCAATTTACATTTTCCAGAAATATCTTCATCTTGACTTTGATATTATAAAGATACAAATGTCCTTCCTTGGCCGATTCTAGCCAATAGAAAGTGGGTTAAAATAATTACTATATTTTTTAGAAAAAAGGCTCCAATCATATCCCAAGACAAGCTATCTTCGCATCAGAAGAATGCCACTACTCTGTATATAAGTACGCATCATTTCTGGGAATAGGAGAAGATAACGTTTTTTCTATCCGAACAAATGACATGGGTGAAATGATCGTTGAAGATTTAGAAAAGAAGATAGAGCAACAAATAGAAGAAGGAGCAGTTCCTCTAGTAGTAGTAGCTACATTTGGTATGTTATTAGATTCCATAGTGCTTCTCTAATCTTAATTTTAACGACTATCTCTTCCGCGCGATGTGTAGATCAAGAATAAAGACAGCAGGACAAAAATTACTTCTGTACTAAATAAATACCTACTACTGTAGTCTGTTTGGAAATGAAAGAGGGTAATAAAACCCCGAGATAAGAACCGGCCATGGGCGTGGTAATATTTCGTTTCAGGTAATTATCGGGTAACACTAATGCTAACAGGTAATGGGTGTACATTAGTATATTTTACTGGATACATCATAGGGCAGGAGCCAGTGTACTGTGACAGATCAATCCAGTCTTAGAGCTGAATATACGAAGACGTGCTAGTGCAGTAGAGTAAAATTCGACTTGTGTTTAGTGACTATTGTGCCAGTGGATATAATATTGTTTGGGTAAAATGTCGAGCTTATCAGATTACGTACCTGCTAAACGCGTGAAAAGATGTGCGCTGTCTCAGAATGAGAAGATTATTATATTAAATGTATTTAATGCATTGAAACACCAAAATCCTACCAACAGTGTTGACGACATCGTGGAAAAGTGTTCCAAAATGACAGGGATTGGAAAATCGACTATCTACAGACTTTTAAAGGAAACAAAAAATGAACAAGATACTGTAAATCCCCCAAAATCATCTACAGGGAGGTCAAAAGTCGTTATAGATGATTTCTTCAAAAATGTCATTCGCAGAAAAGTACACTCATTTTATTTTAAAAAAGAAATACCAACGCTAAACAAAATTTTAAGTGAACTTTCAGAGGACAACGATTTGCCAAAAATCAGTAGAAGCAAATTATGGGCCGTCTTACGAGAGTTGAATTTTTGCTGGGAAAAGCAGAACAGGAAGTCAGTTCTTATCGATAAAGATGAAATTATTTGTTGGCGAAGATCCTACTTAAGATCAATTAGAAAATTCCGTGACGAAGGGAGGAATATTTATTATCTAGACGAAACTTGGGTCAACGAGGGATATACTGTAACAAAAGTATGGCAAGATAAAAATGTAAAAAGTTTTCGACAAGCATTTTTGGATGGACTTTCAACAGGGTTCAAGGCACCTTCAGGTAAAGGGCGAAGATTAATAGTGACACATATAGGTAGTGCCAGTGGTTTTGTAGATGGCGGTTTACTTTTATTTGAATCTAAAAATACAGGTGACTATCACGAAGACATGAACGCAGATGTTTTCGAAGAGTATTTTACACAGATGTTGGATCTTATTCCTCCGGGGTCTGTAATTGTCATGGATAATGCCAGTTACCATTCACGGCAGACCGAGCGGACGCCTACGACTGCTTGGAGGAAAGCCGATATAATTCAATGGTTATCCGGAAAAAACATTTCTTTTGAAACAAATATGGTGAAAAAGGAACTTTTGACACTTGTCAATCTTAATAAAGATCAGAAAAAATATGTTATCGATGAAATGGCAACAAATCGCCAAATAACGGTACTACGGTTACCACCTTATCACTGTGAACTTAACCCAATCGAATTAGTCTGGGCGCAGGTAAAAGGAGATGTAGCGCGAAATAATACGACGTTTAAATTAAGTGACGTGAAAATTTTGTTAAAAAATTCCTTGGAACGAGTAACTGCAGATAACTGGCAAAGATGTATACATCATGTACAAAAAGAAGAGGAGAAAATGTGGGAACTCGATAATTTAATTGACGTTACTGTGGAACCTATCGTTATCAATCTAGGAGACGAAGATAATTCATCAGAATATTCAGAGGATGAATTTTAATATACCTACTTTTTTATTTTCTTTATTGTACATTTATACAACACTACATTTACTCACCATAATTTGAATTTTCAAAATACATATATTTTTGTGTGGAATAAAAGTCTATTCATTAAATTTAAATAAATATTTTGATAATAATATTGAATAATTTTATTTGAATTACTAAAAACCCTCTTAACCCGGTTATGATGCTTAAAGTAGCCTCATGTTTTGAAATGCTGTTTTTATATTGTTTACTTATAAGAGAAATGGACCGAGAAATTGAAGCGGCATAGACAAAGACGGATTGTCGGGGATTAAATTTTAGCTACCTGCTACAATTTAGTACAACCCGGTCACACAAAGTTTTTTTAAAAGTACACCTCATCTATACCGATTATACATAATATAAAAATATTGAATATAAGCACCAGTACTACATTTATTAACGATTTGCATACCTAATGAGCTTTTATTACTCTCTTTCATTTCTAAACAGACTATAAATGCTAAATATTTTTGTGCAGAAATTTTGTCTATTCTCCACGGTCTCATGGCTTGTAATCATTTATGAACGCTCTGTACATCCTAACTAATTCAGCTCATCTAAAAGCATTTTAAACACTTTAAAAAATCTCAAATTTCTCTCAAGGGACGACGGTAAAAGGTGCCTTCGACCCTATCAACCAAATAGCCGACGTCAGCAAGAAGCACAGCATGTGGCTGCATATAGACGCGGCATGGGGCGGCAGTCTCATTTTCTCCCAAAAACACCGTTCCAAGCTCAATGGCATAGAACGGGCCAACTCCGTAGTCATTAACGTGCACAAGTTGTTGGCCGTTCCACAGCAGTGCTCGATGCTGCTGATCAGAGACAAGGGGATCCTGCACAAATGCTTCTCAAGGGGTGCCGAGTATTTGTTCCAGAAGGATAAGCATTACGATAAGACGTACGACGTGGGGGACAAGTACTTGCAGTGTGGGAGGAAGTGCGACGTCTTCAAGTTTTGGTTTATGTGGAAAGCCAAGGTAGGTGATCTTCACCTACCCCTTAATTAAATAATATTTCTTGTCTTCTAATTAAATAATATGTCTTTATTTTATTATATTCAGCATCAAAAAACTATTGATAAGTGTTGTTTTGTGTGAGTCTTAAAAGACATTTGTCATAAGTCTGTTCATTCCAAAGAAGAAGTAAGAGTGTTATTATTGTTTAGACATTAATTTTTCCCAAAAACGAATATATTTAGGCCCTATGTTGTGAAAAACTCTCTGTTCACGAACAAACTTACGACAATTATACTGGCGCCGCCCGTTCTATATACCGAAAGTGACTCAGTCATTAGTTTTAACCACGTACTCGGATGGCCTAATAAAGACAAAAAAATCGAAAACAATATTTTTTTCTCGACCTTTCAAAAGATAAGCAAATTACCCATTAACCAAGCGTTCGAATATTGAAGGGAAACAGCGTTGCCACGTTAGAATCACATAAATAATAATAAAATATTCCAAATTACCACCGTTAAGGCGGGTTGACACTGGTAGTGAACCACGAACGTGGCTCACGCTTTCGTACNTAGCCGACGTCAGCAAGAAGCACAGCATGTGGCTGCATATAGACGCGGCATGGGGCGGCAGTCTCATTTTCTCCCAAAAACACCGTTCCAAGCTCAATGGCATAGAACGGGCCAACTCCGTAGTCATTAACGTGCACAAGTTGTTGGCCGTTCCACAGCAGTGCTCGATGCTGCTGATCAGAGACAAGGGGATCCTGCACAAATGCTTCTCAAGGGGTGCCGAGTATTTGTTCCAGAAGGATAAGCATTACGATAAGACGTACGACGTGGGGGACAAGTACTTGCAGTGTGGGAGGAAGTGCGACGTCTTCAAGTTTTGGTTTATGTGGAAAGCCAAGGTAGGTGATCTTCACCTACCCCTTAATTAAATAATATTTCTTGTCTTCTAATTAAATAATATGTCTTTATTTTATTATATTCAGCATCAAAAAACAATTGATAAGGGTTGTTTTGTGTGAGTCTTAAAAGACATTTGTCATAAGTCTGTTCATTCCAAAGAAGAAGTAAGAGTGTTATTATTGTTTAGACATTAATTTTTCCCAAAAACGAATATATTTAGGCCCTATGTTGTGAAAAACTCTCTGTTCACGAACAAACTTACGACAATTATACTGGCGCCGCCCGTTCTATATACCGAAAGTGACTCAGTCATTAGTTTTAACCACGTACTCGGATGGCCTAATAAAGACAAAAAAATCGAAAACAATATTTTTTTCTCGACCTTTCAAAAGATAAGCAAATTACCCATTAACCAAGCGTTCGAATATTGAAGGGAAACAGCGTTGCCACGTTAGAACCACATAAATAATAATAAAATATTCCAAATTACCACCGTTAAGGCGGGTTGACACTGGTAGTGAACCACGAATGTGGCTCACGCTTTCGTACTTCACGCTTGTTTCACTACTAGTGTAAACAGATTTTCGTGGCCCACGACTGTTTCACGACCTGTTTTCCTGTTTACGCCACGCCACGACTGATATTAAACGTGTTTAATATTTCCCGCTTCCTTTAATATTAAATTAGTTAAAATTGCATCGTCACTGCAGATAGTTTGTTTGTTGGTAGCTCGTAACTCCAAAAATGAGTGTCGCAAATGTATCTATTTTGAAAATGAACGATCGCGACAAAATTACATTTGTGGAATTGTATGAAAATGAGCCTTTATTATGCAATCCTACAGATCCCAAATATCACAACAAGGATGCAAAAAATGCTGCTGCCGAAAGAATTGCTGCTCAGCTTAACATTGAAAACTTCACTGCAAAACATGTATTTGTGAAATTTAAAAACTTGCGTAGTTCATACCTACAAGAAGTTAAAAAAAATTAATGAAAGCTATAAATCTGGTTGCTCTACCGACGATGTTTATATTCCAAAAGTTGTGTGGTTTACGACAATGGATAGGTTCCTAAAGCCACACGTAAAATCAAGAAAAACTCATTCGAATTTGGTAAGTATATTTATTGTTTTAAAAATTCATTTTAATAACAGAATAGAGTAGAGTATAATGTCCATTTATTTCCTTTAATCTATAATCCGCCATTGCCATGGAACCAGCACCTTTACCATTAAAATATTTACAGTAATTATCTCGTTTTTGTGATGCAACTCTGATAGGATTTCTATCACCTGTTAATAGCTGAATATTTACAAGACCATCACTTGTACAATCTCTCCATGATCCCGGCTGGCTTATATGATTCATATCTTCATAATCGATAAGACCAAATGGTACATAGGTAGTGCCTGTTTTGCGCAACCAGTTATGTAAGCCACAACATGCTAGTACCACTTAATCAACTTTTTCAGGACTTAACGGAATTGGTTTTTCAAATACGCGAAATTTGCTTACTAAAATACCAAAGGCGTTTTCAGATATACGTCGAGCTCGAGACAGTCTATAGTTGAAAATTTTTTCTTTGCGTGTTAGTTGTCTCCTGCTGTAAGGTTTCAAAAGAAAAGTCTTCAGTGGAAATGCATCATCGCCGACTATTATTCCGTTTAAAGCAATATTCAGATCCCGGGTCTCAATAACATGCCGCAAAGAACAATGTTGACAAACCCCGCCATCTGAAGCTCTTCCTTTTGCACCAACATCGATATAATATGTAAAACAGTAATCATGGTCCACCAGCGCTAGTAAAATAATACTGTTATCCTTTTTATAGTTGAAATAGTCAGAGCCGCTGTTTTGTGGTGCTTTGATAACTATATGTTTACCATCTATCGCCCCTATACAGTTGGGAAAGTTCCATTTAGTGCAAAACCCGTTTACTATTTGTTGCCACTTTTCGATTGTGTTAGGGACCTAAAAAAAAACAAACAAAAAACAATTACAAATATATCTATTCGTATTTTAATTAATTGATGTAAGTGTATTTTTGATTTACAGAATGATACGCAGTCACAGGACACACTGGACATACAATATACTCAGAAAACACAGAATACACAGGACACGCAAGACGATATACAAATTGTAGACACTCAAGATACTCAAACCCAAGGCATTCTCCAAGACATACCCCAAGACATGCTGGCATCCACTTCAGTACATGATGACATCATGGTGCTTTCGTCTAGAAATATCACGTCACAAACGTTGGAATCTGAAACCCAGGTAAATAAAGGAAAAAGCGACAACCTCCGAACAAGTTGACAAATGAGAATAATAAAACAAAAAAATCTAAAGCAACTCCAAACAACGTTACACCATCAACTAACGCAAACATCTATAAGGCTTTAGAAAAACTTGAGGAAATATCAAGTAGAGCCCACGCAAGTTTGGCAAACCAAAATCGTGAAGACCATTTGGATCATTTTGGAAAATATATTGTGTTGATGCTAAGAAACGTTTCTCCCCGGAAAAGTCTTTTCTTGCAATAAGACATAATTTCTCTTTTGTTTGAAGCACAAATGCCGCCACCATCACTATCAATGACATCTACTACAGAGGATTATAGCTGCTCAGATTACCCAGGAAGGCTACTTTCATCAGATACGAATGCATCTACATCTTTTACGCCTGCTAGCCCTCTACCCAGCTGTTCACGGTCTATGGAAGATTTTGACTATTTACTAACAAGGCTTTAATATATTTTAAAGAGTTTTCCCAACTTTCCAATTAGAATAAGTATTTAGTTTAATACACACAACCTGTTAATCATTTCATTACACTTTAATATATCTGTTACATTACATACAAATTTTTTATTTATTTAATATATTACGCAGTTCGTTACTGATGAAACTAATTGATTTTGTGACTTACCTCTATCCATTCTTGCAGACAGGTATATATGTTATCCAAGACGTCTGGCAAAAATTTACTTATTGTGCTTTTTGGAACTTTAAACAAAAATTCCAGGCTTTTGAAGCTGTCGCCGGTAGCCAAATAGCGAAGAGTTATTTCAAGTTTCGTTTGGGCAGGAATAGCTTCTCTTAGATGGGTGTCGGATTTTTGTATGCGATTAGATATACGTTCCAAGAGATAATTAAAATGGTCCTCGGACATCCGTAATAATTTTTTAATATCTTCTGAATATGTTAAACAAAGTTCATTTTGAATTAATGCCGAGGCTCCAGTAATATGTCTATTTAAAATCCACTGCCTAGTCCACCATCTCCTCTTCTTTCTTGTTTTCGTTCTTTTATTTCTCAACATACAATTTTTTATAATTTCGGCGGCTATTATTTCGCACGTTGCGACTGTAGCTTCCAGCACAAATGAAGCCATTTGTACGACTGAACAGAAAACTCCAGTGGCCAGTGTAAACACTACACGATGCCTTCACGAAACGATCGCAAGCAAGCGTATTTCACGAATTATTATAAGCGTGAGCCACGTTCGTGGTTCACTACCAGTGTCAACTCCGCTTTAATCACATCATCCGCATCGTATTCCTGCGAATTTGGAGGTCACGTCATATGCAGGGTGTTCCACCTAAGAGGACTTCTTCTGTAACTCTGTAACTCAAGGGTCGGCAACTGGCGGACCGCGGTCCAGGTCCGGACCGCGGAAGGTAAAATACTGGACCGCCAAAAATTTTTTGAAAGTATAAATACTCAAATTATTTAAAAAATGTTTTTTTTACGTTTGAGTGCCAATCTTACCATTTTTTCTAGTATTTTACAATTGTGTGAGTGATTTGAGTTCTTAATGGTTAGTAAGCAGATTAAATTTGAGTTCAAATGAAAATTTGTAACAAATATGAATTTTTTTTTTGGACCTCGTTAAAAATTTTTAAAAGTATCCGGACTCCACCTAAAATTACTTGCCGACCCCTGCGTAACTGTTAAATTTATAAAAAATGGTGTTAATAAAAGTTGGCTGGAACCATGTGGGGCCATGTAAAGAATATATTTTTAGCTTTACCCTTTTCGCATGGGTGCTACATAACTTTGTTACTTTAAATGGAACAACCTGTATTTTATTATTTTTTTGAA